TCCTGGGAGTCGGGCGCCTTGTGCCATCGCAGGGCCGAGGTTACCTGGACACAGCGATGATGCGGACGGAACACAGGTGTAGATGGAGTGTACCGGAGCAGGCAGCCCTCCTCCCCACCGCCTGGTTTAAGAAGAGGGTTTCCCAGGGGGCCGTTTGAGCCCTTGTGTAGTGAGGGTGATGCTTCCTGGTAGGTGGGGCAGGGTGCGGGTGTCCAAGAGGAGCAGTCCTCCCTAATGCAAGAGAGCGACAAAGGAGCAAATGATAAACCTGGTGGGGGGGGGGGGCACAGCAGAGCTTTGTGACAGACTCTGGGGCAGATGCCATAGGATTATAGAGCCTAAAACTTCCGACCCAGCTCTTCCAGCAGGTGGGGGGCATTTAATTACTAATTTACTAATTATCGGGAGACTCAGCGATCGGCTGTTCCAGCAATCTAAGCTTGGCCCCGGGGTCACCCCACTTAAGGGTCAGAGAGCAGTGGGGGAGGCAGCCCCGCAGACCAGTGCCTCGTAGCCGCACGTCCTGGGAAAATGCTTCTTCTGGCCTTCCGGATGGGCCAGTTTGCAGCCTCCAGAGGGACCAGGGATTCCGCTCTTGCCAGACACGGCCAACAGCAGCAGAAATAAGCCGCCGTTTGCCACCAGCCACGGACACATTCGGGGCCACGTTCAGCTTGAAAATGAGCTAAATTTGGCACTGTTGAGTCCCTGCAGCCACCCGCTGATAAAACGTGGCAGGGAGCCATGGCGCTGCTGAATTTCAGCAGTGTGGAGGAAGCCGTGGGGGTGGCAGGATCAGTGCTCAGGGCCAGGCGGGGGCTGCATGTGGCCCCCCCTGCTCAAAGGTGCCGTTATACTCGTTTGCTTTTGCTGTTGCAAGTTCTTGATTTTAGGGCTTCTGTTGCCAGGGGTGTCTCCTTCGCAGTCTGGAACAGCGGTTCCCAGACTGTGTTCCACAGACCCCGAGGGTTCCACAAAAGCCTTGTAGGGGTTCAGCAAAAAAATATCATAAATCAAATTGAAAACAGATTTTAAAATGAAACCACGTGAGGCCGACTATTTGGTTGTCAGTTGGTGTCCAAACAGCAGAGCAGGAAATGCATCTTGGCATTTGGTTACTTGGACTCTCTGGTGTAGTGTTGGGAATAATCAAAAGAATTCATTTGGGATATTACCATATCATTGTTTTATTCATTCATTATATTTAAAATGTTTTCTCTTTATTTCACTAGGCAAAGCACCCAGGCAGTAGGAGCAGATGAAAGACAGAAGAATGTTGTAGGTTCACAACGCTTAGTCAAAATCAGGGATACAGAGTTAGGGTTCTGAAGGGAAAAAAGGCTTCAGAAAAGTTCCATGACCAAAAGGGTTTGGGAACCACTTTGCTAGAGGACTATCACCTTCTGTCTGAAGGGCTTCCAAATGCGGTCGGGGCATCAAGAATCAGGGCGCCCTGAAGTTGCCCAGTGACGTATTTATAAATTGATAGGCTGCTGTTTAAGCAGCAATAGATCACTCCTGGGCAGCCACACAGGCCCCTTGGCCATGTTCTCTCCGTGGTCTGCACAGCATTTTTGTTTAAATTGTTGTTCTTTGTTGTACCAGTCAGACTTCGATTCCAGCCCGTGTCTGTTCCCTTCAGTTCTACTGCTTGGAACAGCTGGCTTGTAGAGAGAGGCCTGCTAAGAATTACTCTTCCATGTAGGAACCAGTAGCGTGGTTTTCTTGGTGGTGGCTCCCATTTTGTAGAATTCATTGCCAAATTCCAACAGGTATTGCTTTAAAAAAGACTTGCCTTAGCACTTCCTTATAGATCATTAGGAAAATGTGCAAACATTTCCTAATAATTCATCCAGCCATAATGTTTTAAATATACTACTAATTATGCTGTTTCTTGCCAGGACAGTCTCTGGCTACACAAGTGCCAAAGGGCAAAGGCAGCCTCCTCCCTCCTGTTCTGAAGAGCAGTGATGCCCTCCGTCACCCCAAGCTGGGCCACATGTCACCTGGCTCCTGTTTCACAGCTAATTAAGCCTCCCTGATTGCTGGGATCCGTTTCCCTGTGTGCACCTCCCTGGCGTGATCGATGAAGCCTCCTGTGCGCCGCAGCCAGAGAAGCACAGCGAGGTGAAGATGGGTGCTGTCGGCTTTGCCCCCGTTGCCTCCGGCATCAGCTGCTGCCACGCTGGACAAAGGCTGCAGTGATGCCTGCACGGCGCGGAATTAAAGTTTCATATGGCCCAGGCATGACCGGGTTTCGTGCAGAAGCAGCCTCTAGAAGCAAAGGCCAGGAAGCTTCTCTCCTGAAGCATGAGCCAAGCCTTGCTGCCTGCCGTGCTGCGGCCCGGCCAGGCACGAGGGGACTTAGCCTGGCCTTCCGCGGATTCCTGCAAAGTCCTTTCGCATCTCTAAAGCAGCAGAGGACACATGCCAGAGGCCTCGCTTTCAACCCCGGCATGTAGGACTGGAAAAGAACTCCACTGGAGCCTCTGCATTGCTGCTGCCAGCTCCACAATTCCGCGATGTGGAACTGGGGGGCACAGGAAACGTTAATCTTTCCCTACCCAGAAAACTCCCTCCTGCATGAGAGTTAGAAGAAAACCCCCACAGGCCCAGGGCCATAGGGAAAAGACTGGGCTACCAGGCCCCATGGGCTTCAGGCCTACCAGTGCCAGGTAGGTAGAAGGCACGGTTCTTGACTCTTTAACACAGACCTGGGCATTGTATGGCCCGCGGGCCACATCCGGCCCAGTGGCTGACCCTGACTGGCTGGCATGAGGTCACTGGCAAATTAAAAGTCAGTGCAAATATATAACGTAATATAGATGCAAACAATACACTGCTTTTATTTTGAAGGATCTGCTAAATTGAATTGAATTTATTGCTTTTCATGTAATGTTAATGTTTTTGTGAATATTCACTAAATAGTGTTGTTCTGTGCTCCACATTTTCATTGTATCATTGTAACGTTTCGTTTACTGTTTTTATAGAGATATATATTGAGCAGAGCTGTAAGTGTATTGGTCCGGCCCTTGTGGCCCCATAGGAAAATTAATTGCCCACCCCTGCTTTAACAGTTGCATGGGTGAGGGAATTTCACCAGATTTAGCTAGTTCTTCTCCGTCCTCTTGGATGCGGTGGTGAGAAAGTTAAAGAAAGCGTTGGCTTTCAGGCTGCTTTTCATCTCGGGCAGGAAAATGCTGCTGTTACAGGGCTGTGACACTTGTGCTGGATTTTTAGCAACACGCCCTGGGAGGTGGTGATTATATAAGGCTGATCAAATCAGCCGCCTGTGGCCCCTTCTACCAGCCAAGGCAGCACGATCAGATGCCTCCTATTGCAGCGGGTTTTAAGGGCCATTCTGCATTTGAAAGACTGCCCTGCCTCACTCTGGCTGAAAGATCAGGAACATTAAGAACCGTTGCCCATCCAGTATGAAGCAGCTGAGGTGCAGTCACCTGCTTAGAGACTAACTTCTGCAGTTGGGCAAGATGGACTGTTTTAATGATAATAATTACTTCCGAATGTTCAACTAGAGCAGAGGTGGGCAAACTGAGGCACGGGGTTGCCTGCAGCTCTTTGAGTTTATTTGCCACCAGTGGGCGCCCACTTGCTGATCGCTGCCTACAGTCGCCCCCCTCGGGCGCCCGCTTGTCAATTGATTGCTTGTTCCCTCCTTGGTGCTTGCTGCTCTCCAACATCTGACTTTTACCATATGTGGCTCTTCTGCTGAGCAAGTCTAGCCACCCCTGGATTAGACATAAAATGGGCAACTGTTACGTAAATCAGCATCTTGTTTTGGTCATGCATTTCCTCTTTTTGAATGTTTTACAGGTTTTTTAGTCACAAAGTCGTGCCCGACCCATCATGACCCCATGGACAACATTCCTCCAGGCTCTCCTGTCCTCCGCCGTCCCCCGGAGTCCACCCAAGCCCACACCCACTGCCCCAGTGACCCCATCCAGCCACCTCAACCTCTGCCGTCCCCTTCTCCTTTCTCCGGGGAGTTGTTCCTTCTCATTAGTTGGCCAAAGTATTTGAGTTTCATCACCCCTGGCCTTCTAAAGAACTGACTTCCTTTAAGATTGACTGGTTTGATCTCTGCATCCCAAGGGACTCTCGAGAGGCTTCTCCAGCACTACAATCCAAAGGCCTCAATTCTTCGTTGCCCAGCTTTCTTTATGGCCCAACGTTTTATAGGTAGCCATCCTAATCCTAAGGTTTGCATGGCTTTCATTCTGTGTGGGGTACTCGAGCTAAGTGCCCTGCCTGTTCACCAAACTTTACTGCATCCTCAGAGAAAGAAAAACACCCAAACGCGACTCCTTCTCTCCTGTAACCCGGCATAATCAAATGGGTAATTCAACCTGCCAAATTTTTTCCCTGCTGGCAAGGCTGCTTGCTTTTTCACAGCTACAGGTGACAGCCATCCATCCAAGAGGCCACGGTTTTCCTCCTCGATGCCAGAGTGCCAAATCGCTTCTGCATCTGTTGAACTTCTGTCTGGTTGACAGGTTACCCATGAATCTTGCTCAAGGAACACCACGGGAAAATAAAGGGCAACAATCTGGCCCCTTTGGTTGCTGCCTGCCTCTGAAGCTTGTTTCGAACAGGCAAATTCAGGCTGGAATGCCATCCACACGCTCGTGCGTTTGTGCGTGTGAAAGGACGCGGGAGTGAATGGCGCGCGCGCACGCGTGCGTGCGTCTTAACGCGCACTCGGCTCTGCAGAGTCGGCCTGTGCAAGGGCTGCCCCTCTCCCCACGTCAGGCCGAAGAAGCCCCTGCAGGGACGGGCAGGGCGACGCGGGCCTGTCCCTTTAAGGGGCGGGAGAAGCGTTTCCAATCCCGGCCTCGCCAGCCGCTCCCACATGACACTTACATCAGCCGCAGCAGCATCCAGGACCCGCCGTCGAGGTCGGGATCTCCCCCCGCCCGCCCGGCCGGCCTCCGCCATAAGCCAGCCCGGCCTTCCTCCTCCTCCTCCTCCTCCTCGCAGCCATGTCCGCCGGCCAAGCCTACAACGAGGAGAAAGGGGGCTCCTCCAGTTTGGGGGAGCCTGAATATGGGCACGATCCGGCCAGCGGAGGGATCTTCTCCTCGGATTATAAAAGGTGAGGCTTGGGTGCGTGTTGTAGGGGGCGAGCTCTTGGGGAAGGAGGGCAGAGGCCGGCGGGGGGCGCTGCTCGCCCTGTGCCCGCATGGAAATGCGCCCCCTTTTGCTCCGAGGGGGAAGCGCGGGAGCGGGGAGGGCAGGGCAAGGCCGGATGGAAGCACCTGCGCGCTCGGATTCATTGTGCCCAAGCCCAAGCCAAGCCCAAGCCGCGCGCGTTGCTATCAGGGCCGCTCTGCTCCTCGCCCCCGCCGCGGATGGGCGTCGGCGCCGCCCCGCCGCCGGCTGGAGGTGCACGGCTTTGTAAAGGATGGCCCAGATCGGGCGTCTCCTCCGGGGGGGTCCTCAGTCCCCACCTCCATCTCCGGAATGACGCGGTCAGCCCTCTGAGCCAGGCTGCGCCCCAGAAGCGCGGCCTGCAGGCCAAGCAGGTGCCCGGAAAAGGGCGATCCTTGCAGCGGGTCTCCCAGCTACGAGAGGTTCTCCCCCAAGCCCATATTACTTAAGTGGTGGGGGGCGGGGGGCGTCAGAAAGGTGGATCCGGCCGGGATGGGCTAGGGGGTGATGCACCTGTCTGGAAAGAAGCCACGCCCCTTAAATGTAGAGGTGTGGTGAGATGGGATTGGATGGAGGAATGCTCTCTGCTTGTGCTCAGAGTTGCTCTTTTGGCGATGGCAGATTCTAGTATTGCACTCGGAGCCGTAGTGGCGCTCACTGTTCGGGTTGAGCCCTGGGCTGCGTGGATTTTGCGCCTTCATATCTTCCAGTGCTGGTTTGGGAATGTGCTATCTTCTCCCACTGCATGGGAGGCTTGTAGAGGCCGAAGTCACAGCGAAGGCCGCAGTGTCGGTCGCTCGGTTGCTCTCTGTGGAAGTCAGCATGGACTGACTGAAAATTGCACTTGCCTTGGAGGAATGGGAGTTCAGGAAAATGGCTTTCCCTTAGGTTGCAGTGCAGTCACAACATAATCGAATAGATGTTGTAGGAGGAACTGTCAGGTTTGAGTGCCGCTGGAGGGAGCTTCCATACAGATGAGGTTATGAGAGGCAACCGGTGGGCTGGACTGGCTTGCTATTTAATCAAAATCAAGATGCTCCCAAGTGAGATGGCCATCCAGATGGCTGCCCAGTTGTGCCCAAATCACCAGAGCAGGAAGCACCACCTGTCAAGGGTTCCCAGGTTCAGTCCCAACATGTCCAGGTAGGACCCCAAAAGACTTTGACCTGAGACCATGGGAAGCTGCTGCCGGTCAGTGCCAACGATACTGGCCTAGGTGGATCAAAGGCTTGGTGCAGTACAAAGCAGAAGCACCCTTTGAGTGGTGGATGTTACATGTCTCAGATGATACGGAGCTGCCGCCGAAAGTGGCGCCCCGTCCTCTCAAGACTTGTAGCAACATGTGGGATTGTCTACCCCAACCTGCCATTATATCATTAAGTCATTTACTTCCCAGGGTCTTCCACTGGCAACCTAAGACGTGTAGCTGTGGGTGTGGAACGTGCAACATCATGACATTGCAACATGGGGCAGGGAGAGTTTTGCAGCAATGCATGGAACTCCACTCAGAGGTTTCGTGAAGGTTTTGCGGACTGGCTAGACTGTTCATCTGAAGCTGTGGAGCATTCCCTTTCTGGGCCCAGGGCTTGGAGTACCATCTTTAAATCTCTATATTGTATATTTACTGGCTTGCTACTTGGATATCCTGCTTTTTCTTCAAAAAGTCCGACACAGTGTACATGCTGCTGCTCTTCTCCATGTTATCCTCACAGCAACCCTGCGAGGTAGGTTAGGCTGAGTCAGTGACTGACCCAAAGCCACTCAGTGGCTGAGTGGAGTTGAGAACTTGGATATCTTGAATCTCAGCTGGTTTTCACTGCAGCTGCTCCTGCATATGAAAGATCCTGGGCATTGTCATGGTGCACCTAAAAGCAGACAGAAAAGGGCCTTTCACTACCTTATCCTTTTACTGTTTATGCAGAGACTGAACCCAGAATTTTCTGCATGCAAAACAGGTGTTCTACCAGCATTTGGTGGTTCTGAGATTTCACTAACTATTGCCTGCACATATTTTTTCCCAGTGATGAGAACTAGAAACTTGTATTTTTTAAATACTGTGGGGCAGTTGGGGATGCTGAATTCTGCACTCATCCTGCAGCTGCACTAGAGGAAGACTGCATGGTACCCTTTTGGTGTCTCGGACTACAACTTCCAGAAGTCCTAGCCAGGATGGCCAATGCTTGGAAATTACAGGGGTTGTAGCCCAAAACATCAGGCAGGCATCAGGCTGCCTAGCCGTGACCTATGCTGTGATGTTTACTCAGCATGTGGGTATGGGTGAGCTTTGAACTTAGCCAATTTGTTTTGATTTCAAACACTTGTGGGTGAGTTGTTTCACTGGCGACACTGTTTTGCACACTGCTGCTCTCCTGGATGCTGAACGTCCAGCTCGGCTCCTCCATAATTCCACCCCGAATTTAGATTTCTCACCTTTCATTGCCTCCGAGGCTGCGCCTGGGAGAGCAGGCCAGCCCCTTCCACGGTGTGGGTGAGGACTCCTCTGGTACATTGGACAGCTCATTGCTCGGAGGCAACCCACGCTGGCTGGCTTCGTAGTTCCTCTGTAGCAAACGGAGTGGCGTTTCCCTTTTCTCCAGCCTTTCAGGCTTCCGCAAGAAAGCCAGCTTCCCTTATGGAAGCGAGCCCTTGGCATTCGGCACCTTTCCCCTCCACCTGACGTGATTCGTATTGGAGACAGTCTGTTATTCATTCAGCCAGTGCCGTGTGCTTGCCTTTGTTTTCCGTGCCTCCAGCTTTTTACAGCCCAGCCTTCTTCAGCCTGGTTGAGCCAGCTGGGAGTTGCAATCCCGCACATCTGGAAGGCACCTTGTTGAGGAGAGCTGTTGTAGACCGGTGTGGATTGGTGGTCTGGTGTTCTAGATAGCCGGCAGCATTGCCGATTCAGCTGTCTGTGTACCTAGAAGGGAAAGAGTATCACAGTTCTTCCTGGCTCTGATGGATTTTGATGTGTTTCTAGGCTCTGAACCCCCAACTCCTCTGACAATCCAGACAGGTTAGAGCCATTAAGGAAGCCTGTGTTCTTTTATTGAACCCTCGATGGATTGATTAAAAGATGGATGACGCCATAGCAGTGAATCATAACTATGCTAACACTGCCTTGGCATTTGTTTGCCCTGTTAGGGAGCCCAGTATTTAATCCTGGGCTGGTTCACACAATAACCTCAGCCCACTGTGGTGTGTCCTAGCAGCTGTTGTATTTAAATAGGTGCCACTTGATGACAGGGTCAACAAACCACCTACAACCCATGGGCTGCTTTTGGGTTGTGGGTGGTTTGTTAAGTGTGGTAGCAACCCACTCTTGGCAGGTTCACACATCATGATAAGCCATGGCCCATAGGCTTGAAATTTCCAACAACCTCCAGGCAGCAATGAAAGGGAGGTAAAAGCCTGTTGTTCTCAGGCATCCATCTGAAGGGGTGGCCGCTCAAAGACCAATTTAAAGTGATGCAAACCCAGGAGAAGAGGCTGAAGTGGTATGTCAACAGTTAGCTGCAGACAAACAACCACACAGATAACCCATGCTGGTGATACAGATTTCTGTTTGATGGCATGCTTGCATCCAAATTCGATTCTATAAATATATCAGCTTACCTATGTGCAATTTATGCAAATTTGTACCCTCTTTTTTTGTTTTGCCAAAATTGTCTTTTCTTGATCTCTGCCTCATGGAGCTTACTAAAAAAATGTGAGCAGAAAAGGTGGGGGGAAAGAGGGAGGCATTTAGTTTAGGGGCACACCCCGAGGCTGCATAACCTCAAAGAATCTTGTCACATCTTCAAGGCTGATACATATACTGTGGCATAAGATCTTATGGACTAAGCACCGATTCATCAAATGTGTGAAGTCATGAACATGTAGACCATAATAAACTAGTTAGCTAGTCTTTAAGGTTATACAAGATTCTTAGCTGTGTAGTGTAACAGCTAAACTGCTCTGAAAATTGGACTATGGCTTAGGATGTGGGCTGAGATCCTGAATATGCTTCCTGTGGAACATGCACAGGGAAGATTGCTTTGCAAAGGGTTGTCCCAAAGGCATTGGGGAAAAGGTCCGATCTGAGCACAGACTGAGACAAATTTCACCCAGGATTGTCTATTTGTGGCAGTGCGAGGAAGAGCCGCTGGTGGGCCAAAACAGCTCCCATCAGTCCTAGCCAGCATAGGCATCAGTGAGGAATCATGGGAATTGTAGTCCACAACACCTGGATTTGCCCACTGTAAATGAGGGAGTCCTAAATCTTCCATCATGAAATGACCTTCTCCAACCTGAAGAACTTGAGGTGATTTGGACCACAGACTTCCAGGGCAGCTGTTGACTGGCCGGGCTGATTGGGGCTGATGGGGGCTGGAGGCTGACCTAAGCCAAAAAACGTTACAATACAATCATATACCAGTGGAGAGCCAGTGTGGTGTAGTGGTTAAGAGCACGGGACTGGGACTCAGGCGATCCGGGTTCGAGTCCCCACTCGGCCATGGAGCCAACTGGGTGACTTTGGGCCAGTCACAGACTCTCAGCCCAACCTACCCCAGAGGGTTGTTGTTCTGGGGATAAGATGGAGGAGGAGAATGATGTAAGCTGCCTTGAGCCCTTGGTAGGAAAAAGGCAGGACATAAATCGAAGAAAAAAAATACATCAACGGATTGAGTTCACTGGCGCTCATTCCCAGATAGGTGGGTATAGGATTGCACCCTTAGATCATGCTTTCTCTCAGCCTTCCCTCACCCATCTGTGAGTTGGGAATGATCCTGGGCTGCCTGCTAGGGCTGTTGTAAGTCTCACTGCAATATAATGCACATAAAATATTTTGGATGCTCAAAGCACAACACAGTTGGATTTGTTTGGTGTAAGGATTTGTTCTTTTGCTGAGGGAAAGTCATATTCAGTTGAGTCTGTTACATGTGGGGGCACTTAAAGAGCCCCGTG